AAAGAGCGACTGACAAAAACAGCAGATACCCGGTTCGAAGTTCCTACTCGAAACACCCGGGTCATATCGGCAGTATCCAGAGATGTCGGGATATATCATATAAGACACAAAATCTGCCAAGGTACGAAGTTCGAAGCCCACCTACTTAGCTCAAGGCCCGTACCTCCTATCTGTATCAATTAAACACAAAACAAAAACAAAACACACAGGTGCTAAGTTCGAAAGACAACAACAACAACAACCGGGTTCGAAACTCCCTAACTCCTATCACACCCTCGATCATCAATATTAAACTGAAAACAAACAGGACAGGTACAGTGTTCGACGCTCATGATGCCGAGCCAAACCCAAAATAGACCGAGCCCGAACATTTTTATTTTTTTTTATTTTTTTATTATATATATAGGGGTTGGGGGCGCCTGGGGGTCATCACTCATCACTCCTAAACATACACACACACACACACACACCATACACATGCACCCCCAGACACCCCACAGACACCCCACAGACACCCCACACACACCCCACACACCACACACACATGAGGATGTGCTTGGCAACCCCCTAATTTGAGCTCGGCTGAACATGTTCGGTTCGACCGAGCGTCCGAACACGTTCGGCTGCTAGGTGGGGCCCCGAACATGTTTGGTGTGCTACACAGGTGTGAGGGTATTAGTTGTTTAATTAAATGGAGGAAGGGTATTTTTTCTTGTTGTTCGATTGGGCCCTAGACTCCGAAGATAGTTAGTTCTTCCTCTTTGTAATTGATGTTTAATCTCACTCATCTGTCGGTGGTGATGTCTTGCCAAGTATTTTGTACTCTCATTAGGTTGCTCTCCGTCGAGTTATCGTGGAGGCCTTGACAAAATCTGAGTTTCCTAATTAGTGTTATTTGGATTCTATTGTGCTCATCGTTACTTGTAAGATGAGTTTCTTGTAGATAAGTTATGTCTGGGGAGCTATGGCCAAACCAGCCCATGGATTCCGTTAGGTTTCTCCATTTGACTGGGTCGTTTATGATAGATGCCAGGCCGTTCACATTCAAAGAGTAAAGGGAGATTTCACGTTGTTGTCTGATTTCTTTTAGGATATCTTCTACTGTGGTGGGTTTGAGTCTCTTCTTGTTAGTTGGGGGCCCTGAGTCAAGGGAGGTGTCCATCTAGGAGGTTCATTTCTCCTTGATTTGGGGTGAGTAGTCCATCTAGGAGGTTTTCTGGGTTTTCTTGGAAAGCCTCCTCGCCTCCTTCCCTGCCCTATCTTCATTCACCTTTGCCAGAGCCTCGTCCGTATTCCTTCACAACCATTCCTCCCTCACAAAGGTGCACATGTTGAATGCAATCCTCTTTGTTGCCTCCCCCAACAATGGAAATAAAATTTCATAAATCAACTCTCAAACTTTACATTCCACACCCTCCCTCAATTGTCTTGTGAGGCAGTGTGAGGTCATAGATGACCATGATAAGTCTCATGTCCCTTGTCTGGGATTCTCCTTTTTCATCATCCCAGCGTACCTGCAGGTGCTCGTCGTAGTTTAGTCAGGAGACGCTGGTCTGAAATGTTGGCTCTCAGGAACTGTGGAGGCTGGTTCATCTCATGTGCTGTGACTATTTCAAGTGTAGGACGGACTGCAATTTGCCATTTTTTCTTTTGTGTGTCGAATCGAAATGGCAGGATCAGGATGAATGGCGACAACACTCGCGCATCGATGTTGGCTGGACGTGCAATCTCATCTGGATTTTAATCTACAATTTTGTTTACCGACGAGGTGATCTCTCTCAATTCTTGGTTTTGATCTTCCAAGAAACGTGTCTGCCTTTCCAAAATTGCAATCCTTCTTCTCATTCTGTTTTTTGGTTTTTTCCTTCTCCTACCAAGTCATTTGCCAAGAAAATCATTTTGCTCTCCTCCTCTGCTTGCCCTCCCTTACCCTTATTGTCCTCTTCCGATTCTGTGAACCCTCCCTTGTTTTCTCTGAGGTAGGAGTTAGGCCAGAGTGGTGCTTGGGCTGTTGTGTCATGGGTCGTGGTCTTATCAGTCTGGTAGATGATATATTATTGTGCCAAGAATTTTAAAAAGATGTTTTCAAATTGTAGCAGCTCATATGAGTTTGGCAATGTGGGGAATTCGATTGACCTGTCAGACTCTTCTGTTTTTTTTAGGTTGTTGATATGTCTTGTATGAGTCAGTCTAATATCCAGGTCGAGGTCTCAAGGATTCAATGTATTATGAACATCACTCCATGGAGCTTACGGGCCTCTTCACTTACTGATCCCTGTCCCTCTTGACCCTTCCCCAAGGAAGAGAGGTTGACGTGCATTTCTCCCTCATTTTTTGCTTTTCTTGGTACCTGGTGCCATTGTGGTTGCCTCATTGTCTTCCTCTTCTTTCTTGTCTTTCTTTTAGCTAGTCCACTTTCTCCTTTATTCCTGATTTGTTTCTCTCTCATTTCATTCCTGGTTAGCAGGTTCTCAAAATATGCTTTTTCTGCTTCTCTTCCTATGTTGTGAATTTCTTTCAGGATCTCCTATTTGTGCATGGTTTGTTCCATCTAGAGTGTAGCTCCCAATGAGTTTTTTACGTACTTGTGAGTAGCTTTGTCACTCCTTTTGCCTCCACACGATTGCCATCTATTGTCGTGCGGGGCGAAGATGTCGGGTTTGCAAAAGGGTTCCGGATCAGTTAAAGTCCACACCCAGGCTGGGGTTTCCCTTAAATCATCAAAGACTCAACTTTTGCAGGTTGGGTCGTTGATGATCCATATGCCCTTCATGGCCTCCGCTTCAACCAGCATCGATTCGTTGAGTCTTCTGCCTTCTCCCTTACGTGTGTTGAGGAGGTATAACGGGTCGTTCCTCATGTGTCCTTCGATTCTGCATCTAAACCAAATGGGGTTTGTCATTGTCGTCATAAAAATATGCACCACCTGAACCTGTTGTCCAACTCTGAAAAACCATTTGTCGGCGAGTTCGGGCAGACTGTTGAATTTCAGTTCCACGCAGATAATTCTGGAGCTGGCACAGCGGGTCAGGCACGCTAGGGCCGATGACACCCATTCGATGATGGGGCATTGGGGGCAGGATTTCATCATTCTTTCTTCGACCAGGCCGTGCTTCCGCCCGCCAAGTTGTCGAATTGAATCCAAAAGTGTTTGTTCATCAGGATCTGTTTGTGGCATGCGAAGCCTTGTGGTGCTGATCTGTTTGGTTTCCATTTGGATATCGTCACTACAGAGCCCTCACAATACAGAGTCTGTATTGCAAGAAGAAAGTTGGTGTAATCCGGGTCTCCACACAGGACTGTGATTACGTTAAGACCCTGCTGCTGGCAAGCTACCTTGGGTTCCGTATCCCTTAGATTTTCAACACTCTTAAGGGTTTCTCTAACTCTCCTTCTCTTCTCTGTCGGTGGAAGGTGTTTGAACTTAGTTGGGAAGGAGCATACGACTGCATGAGTTTCGTAAAATTCATCCAGAATAGGGAGTTGTTCCTTTGGATATTCCCAAACTTCAACTTCAATTTCTTCCTCTTTGTCAATTTTGAGGATTTCTTTGGTAACCTGGTCCACTGGTTTGACAAGTGTTTCTTTAACCATCAAGTTCAAGACCGCTTTGCTCGGATCATGTTCGCTTTGTATTCTCGATATTGGGATTGCGCTTGGTGAGTTTGATGTTGTAGACTGAGAATGACAGGACGCCATGACTGCAGCGAATGGTATGACTTGTGATTTGATTGGTGGAGCACCCAATGTGGGTGGGGAAAGTCGGAATTCGGGCAGAGTTTAGCTATCTCTCTCGGGGGGTCAAAATTTTGTAGCAATGAAGGGATTTCGTGGCGGAGATCCGTGAGAGTGTAGTGAGTACGTATCCGGGCCAAATTTTAGAGGTTTGGATCGAAATCCGAGCCTAAAACTGAATGTTGTGAGCATGTGAGATTTCGGAAGAGGCTTCCTGTGCCGATTGGGGACGGGATCAGACGCTAATGTGAGGGGAAAATCCTGATGAATGATGGTGGAAGGATAAGGAGTGGAATAATTCAATATGGGAATAATAAATAAAATAAAATAAAATTAAATTAAATCACCAATTAGTAATTATAATAATCCTACCTCTTAAGCAACATTGGCCACGGGGGGGAGGTCGATGGTCCGTTGCGCATCGGAATCGGGTTGAAG